TTCGTTATTTTGCGTCTAAGCCCAAAGCCCTTCACTGCTCGATTTACGAGTATTTCTATTGTTGTCTGCTAAGCTCTGTTGCTAGGTTAAATTTGAGGTCTGGTTCTGGTACGAAACAAATGGAATCTGATAGTTTCAAGGCCTACCTTTTTGTGGAATAACTAAGGTTTGGCGGAAGTAAAAACTCTATTCATATGCGCAAAAATCCAATATGGCGTCCATAAGAATAAGTTATGGTAACTCTGGAGGACAAGAGACGAGACGTTGTATTGAAATTCTAATTACGTCATTCCGTAGAGAAGAAACAGTGGCAATGTTATTGTGCAGTTTATGTTGAAATCCCACCACAAATAAAGCCAGGAAAAAGTTGAGGCGATTTTGGAAAAATTCGGTTTTTTCCGTCACTTTCCGGAAGTATACTTTATCTGAAGTCACTTGAAACACTGTGAAATACCGGGTGCGTTTTATATATCTATATTTAACACGCTCTGTTGCTGCAAAAATCGCCAAATTTCGCAGCAAATATCCCCCGTATAAGATCAAAGGCAGTTTCACCGGTCCACGTGGAGTAAAGCACGCCTATGCGTGGACATAGCCAATGAGAAAGCGTGTATTTCAGAGCTCCGAACAAGTGCAGGTGGCTACTGAAAATTGAAACAGTTTAGCCAGTGCCGTGTAGCGGTGAATAAACGTGTTTTCTTTAGTCTGTCCGTGTTTTTTCATAGATTTTATTAGTTTGTGTGTTTTTGACTTTTGAATACTCAGTTTACTTGTTGATTTAATTGTTGTGTTGATTGTTCTTGTGTGTCCTAAATATGGCTCTTTGGAGACCTTGGGAAAATGCTCCAAGCCACGAGGAGATGGTTGATGAACCTGAGCAGGCAGAATTCTTTCATAAAGATTTAGAGGAACAGACCCAAAGAGTAATCCTAAATATGTATGATTGTCTGAAAAACGAAAATCCAGATTCCTCGCAAAATCAAATTTTAAACAGAATTTGTATCCTGACAAAAATCAGTCGGTCTACCATTTATCGGGTTATAAAAAGGGGAGATGTAGTCAACCATTCCTTCCACAGAAAGCGCATAGGGCAAAAATTAAAAAGAATAGACGTGGGTTTTCAGGAAGATATTCGTCGTATAATATACGGATTTTATAAAGAAAATTTGGTGCCCACGTTGGAAATGATACGGGATAAATTAAAAGATTATCCTGAAGATTTTTATAATTACAAATGCTTAGACTCACTGCACAAAAAATTAGATAAAAGAATGGTGATTATGGAGTCGTCTCGAATCGTTGAATTGCGCCAAGAATTTTTGCACAAAGTTAAAATCTATAGAGAGCAGGAAAGAAATCTGATTTACCTGGATGAAACGTGGTATGATACCCATGATGTTGTGCAGTACGGCTGGGTTGACGACAGCAACAAGTGCATTTTAAATGCACCATGCAACCGTGGGAAACGAATCATTATTCTCCATGCTGGCAGTGAAAATGGATTTATACCTAATGCCTTGCTGTTATCTGCCAAAAATATCAAAGAATCATGTGCCGACTATCATGTGGACATGACCTCCGACTTATTTGAAAAGTGGATAGAGCAGCAGTAAATACCAAACATTTACCCAAATTCAGTGATTATTATGGACAATGCGCCATACCATTCCCGACAGAAAAACAAAATTCCGAATACAGGCACAAAAAAACAAGACATTATTGATTTTATGAAGGATAAGGGAATGGAAATACCATAAAAATCAACCAAAGCCATATTATTGGATCTTATTAAAAGACAAAAATTTGAAAAATAGTATGTTGTTGACAATCTGCTTCAGCAAAATGGCCATGAAGTATTACGTCTACCTCCCTATTACTGCATTTTTAACCCGATTGAGTTGATCTGGGCTGCTTTAAAAAAAAAGTAAGAAAACATAATCAGACCCCTCAATTAAGTGAATCGCTATTGGCCACAATAAGAGATGCAGTATCTCATATTGCTGCCACAGACCTATGGAAGCAGTGTTCTAGGCATATTATTGAAAAAGAAAATGAATATTGTGTTTTGCCTCCTGTACATCCCGTTGTAATTCCTCTACAAGATGACTCTAGCGACAGCTCCGAAGGCGAGGATGATATATAAATACCTATAATGTAAGTCTTTATATACCTTTTTATATACCTACCTGCTATGTAAATATTTGCCTATGTCAAACGTTGGAATTCTGTAATTTTTCCATTTCTTAACTTTCAGTCAACATAAATTAAACTTCCAATATAAGTATTTTTTACCCCAAATCAAAAAAATAAGAAGATAGTAAAATCCATTTATTGTGATATAAAAACATTATTATTATCGTTCTAAATAAATGACCGCACGCCTATGATACGCCATGAAATTACAAAGGACGCGCCGACCAAAGGTTTTTATGCTATTTCAAGTGACTTCAGATAAAGTATACTTTGAGTTTAGAAACTTTATAAGCGGCACTTTGTTGATTAACTAAATACATACTATATTTAGACTATATTTAGATACTTCTTAAAAACGGTTTCTTTTGTCCAACATATTTCAGATGCTTACGCCTCGTACGATTTGAACATATATCTGATTCCAAAGAACCATAGTCCGGTCCTGTTCAAGTTCTGCGTTCACATTCCCCTGTGGCGATATCCTGACATCAGCTAATATATTTCATTAGGCCCTATCGTCGCCTTCGCACTGTATATATGACTCTAACGTTTTGTTGTGTTTCTGTTTCATGCTCACACCGAGACCACATTTATAGCAATATTCTCTGCATTTAGGAAATTGCCCTTTCATTTAGGGCTGTTAGGGACCGTCGCAAACAGTCGCTTCATATAAGGGTAGGTGATAATGTTATTTAAGTTCTGCCATTCATCACAGGATGCGGTTAATAAGAGGATAACAAATGGCGTATTGCGTCTATTGACCAAAGGAAATAAAAACTGGAAACATAATAACACAATTATCAGTAAGAACCCGGCTTTTCAAAATCGCGAATCTAATGATGGAACTGAATAAATTAACTTATGTCAAGTCCACTTGTAGTATGCACCTTTATTCTGACTACAGATTGAGGTTTTGGAGACAAGCAAACAGTATCCCAGTTCGTACTTGTAAGAATTTCATTGCTTACTGAGGTATTTGGCAAAAACTGAAATTTAGCCAAATCATTTTTATTTTTTCAAAAAAGTTTTAAAGCGCTAGATCAGAGTTCCCCAAACTTTTTTGTGTCGTAGACCCCTTGCCATGTTTTTCGGTGTTGGGTAGACCCCCTACTTACCTGATACTGATTTTCTGTAAATTTCTAACTGTAGTGAAGTTTAGTGTTAAAAACTTAAAGTAAAAACACATGTTAATTTATACATTTATTAATTGAATTTAAATTAAAACTACTCAAAATAAAATTTTGTATCTGTTATGTAAAATATACGTAACATTAAATAAACAGGTGTCTGACCAATAAGTGCCCGCATTGAAAAAAAATAAGAGGGTAAAATAAAAAAAAAGTGAAAAATAATAAAAAACAAGTTTTTTACTTAAAATGGTACAATAAGCGAGTTCGTTTATTAATTATAACATAAACGTATGTTCTATAATAATTTCACTGTTAGTTTGATTAAATTCCGCTTCTTATACGATTAAGTTATCTAAAAGTAGGCAAAAAATTAACGAATTTTAGTGTGTACCTATCCTTGAATTTTCAGAATAGTTAAAAAAAAACAATATTTTCTATAAAGGAGGGTTCTTTAAAAATCAATGCGGGCACTTATTCCCAATACGGGCATTTATTGGTCAGACACCAATAAACATAAAATAAACTATAAATAAAATAACATAAGCAATAAGTCAATATTTTTAGTGAGAAGGATGAACCTGATGCTTTAATAATAAATTATCAACATTTGGCGTCAATTTTGTAAGGGATAATCTTAAATCTCCTCGGCTAATGATGTCCAGTCTGTTTCTTTTTTTCGTTAGGAGATTGGTAACAGCGCTAAACCCCCTTTCCACTAGGTATGACGATGGAAAGGAAATTAAAAATTTCCTCGCTATATTCCATAATACGGGATAAGTAACGGGTATGTTGTTTTGCAGCCAGAATTGCTGATATCCGTTTTTAAACTGAACCTTAAGTTCTTCGTTTGTACTTAGTTCAGTCAGTTCCTCTTGTATTATGACATTCGTTTCTTCTATGTCACCATATGGATTAATAATTATCCACGGTGGTATTACCATAGTCAAAATATCCTCAAACCTAGATTCAAAATCTGAACAGAGGGCATTTAAATGTTGAACGTAAGTTGAAACGAAGTCTTCCTGGCAGCTTGTCTGTGACAAATTGGGGAACTGAGAAAATTCGCCCGTCCAATATTTTGCTTCATTAGTTTTACTCTGGTAAGAAACGCTGATAAGATGGACTTTGTTTTAATCAAATTTAAACTGTCGCCTTGTAATTGCAAATTAACCATATTAAATTTTGTAAACAAATCTGTTAAATAGGCGATGTCTGTTTTCCTCTTCATTAAATTTTCTTTTAAAATTTTATCTTTAGTATCCAGAAATTCTAAAATAGTCTCAAAAAGTGCAAAAAATCTTGTCAAACATAAGCCTTTCGACAGCCAGCGTACTTCAGCGTGAAGGAGTAATTGATGAAAGTGTTCATTATTTTCTTCACACAACTGCGCAAATAACCGCGTATTCAACGCGTTGCTTCGGATTTGGTATACTGCATCAATGACTAAATGAAGTGATTCATGCAATCTAACACTCAAATTTTTTGCAACTAAATGTTGTCGATGGATGACTCAATGTATTGCTAACACCCCTGACACATTTTGTTTTAAATAGCTTATAAATCCACGATAACGTCCAACCATGGCAGGTGCTCCATCAGTAGCTACTGATATTATATTTGATAAAGGAATTGCTTTTTGAATGAAGTAATCCTTCAAAACATGAAATATTGATGCACCTTTAGTGTCGGTTATCAAAGTTCTTGCGAAGATCAGTTCTTCGTAGATTTCTTGATTCATAATAAAACGAACATATGCCAATAATAATGCTGCATTATCAGGCAAAGTTGACTCGTCCAGTTGTATAGAGAAATGGGTCGTCTGCAAATAATTACATAAGAAGCTTTCAATATCAGAACTCATTCCATCAATACGTCTTTCAACAGTATTGTTGCTTAAGGGAATTCTTTTAATGATATCAGATGCAGGTTTGTGTAAAACAGTTTTTAAATCCTCTTCAACGGCTAGCAAAATTAACTTCTCTCCGATAGTATGCGGTTTTCCAGATTTTGCTATAAGTAACGAGATATTGTAAGACGCCCGCAAACCATCATCATTTCTTTGTGACGTCGAAGCGAACATTCTGTCCAGTGTAGGTCTCTTCTGAAATTTATCTTTGAGTGTTTGAAAGTATTTCAAATCTTTCTCTGTTTTATCAGGGTGGCATCTTCTCAGATGACCTTGCAGTTTAGATGGTTTCATAGTGTCATTGCCGAAAACTTTGTTGCATAAAAGGCACATAGGCGATTGTTTGTCCGGCAATGATGGAATGAAGCCAAATTTCAAATAACAACGCTGTACTGGCTACATTTCTTTCTAGATTCGGATATGACATCAGTCTTCTGTGGGCAAAATTAAATTATGTAAATAAGACAGAAAATCCAGAAGCTGTATATTAAAAATATTTTCTTGATTTTTCCGAAAAGATTCCATAATTCGAACATCTTCTTGCAACAATTAGCTCGAATTACGGAGATTGCACTGTAATTATATTACCGATTGCTAAAACTTTCAAAAAGAAACTATTGAGGAGTACTCGTGTAATTTTGCATGATTGAATATTTAACTACTAACAACTAAAGTCATGATTGGCGTATTTTATCTATCTTTGCTAACTACGAGTACAAAACTAAAATTTAATAAAGAATAATGTACTGACATACGTACGTATAAACGTATCCTAAACGATCATACGACTGACTGAGTTTGTCGTATTTTATCGCAGAGGTGAATCCCCTACACTCTACATCATAAATCGGGGACTCCCCGATGCCCGACATAAATCATCGAGGCTTCAGCATTTTACCATCGCGCTATTTCCGTGCGCCGAGAGTTGTTTACGTTTGATCCTATAGAACGAAGATTGTGTTCTATTAGCGCAAGTTTTCATTATCCCGTGTTTACGTTATCGAGCATCTGCTAACATAAGCTGTATATCCAACAGGTATGAAGTCTACTCGCCGTATCAGTTTGTTCAATAAAATTCTGTTATTGTGATAGTAACCATACGCGCTTTTTTTGAAATTGAACTGTCGACGTCGATAAGAGACAACGGCAAGCATTTCTTTTAAAATACACTGACAACTTGAAGTAGTGATCACATCCATCATTTTGTAGTAGACAGCTTGTCCATATTTGTATTTATCCCAGGAAAGACTAAAGTTCCATGCCTATCCAAAGGTGTCTCATGCAGAGCTCCAAGTTAAAAAAACCTACCAAGCCAGTGTATATTCCAATAAAAACCTCTGTAACCGAAGCTCGTCTATCTCCTCGGAGCCGAAGTGACAGCAAAGCGATCCGTTCTACGTCCAGTTAGGCGGTTACAACAATTCTAAGACATCCCGTGAAATCCCAAAAGGTTAGTCTTAAGGCTAACGTTTTCTTTTCGGACCGTATACAGAGATAGCAACGGTTGCTTTTTCTCTATAGTAGTTAAATATTTCACTCGCTCAGTGACAGGGAATCTTTACATAGATTCTCTTGCAATTTGAGAGGGTCTTTACATCTTTCGGGAAATTTTGTGGGAAAAAGCTAGTCTCTTTCTTTAGCGATAAGTAGTATTTATCAAGACATGGCCCTTCCACACCGGTGGGTCGTTGTTGATCTAGCTCTCTACCACCGCTACACCAATGGTCTCTTCTCGCTGATTCCCTAACGCCTTGTCCCTGCCATGCAGACTAGCCTGACTTCCGCCTCCCATCCTGATTGATCTACACTTAAAACATTATGCCAGGTAATAGTACACAATGTATTTGAAATCGAAGCAAGGTAGCTGAATGCCAGAATGAGCAACTCGCTTTTATTTGATGTGACAAAAAACTTATACATAAAGCTAAATCTGGCATTACGAACAAACGCGAGTGCCTCATCGAAAAGCTCGTTCGGAATCAAAAAGCGTTCAGTTTGGAAACTAATTTTTCGGAACGAGATCTGTGCAAACAGAACAATAGAGCAACTGAATAAAAATTCAGAGTCTGCGTCCAGCTACTCATTAAATGGATTTGTGAAATACCATTGGAAGCTTTATACAAAGGGACTACATACTAATAAACTACCAGCTACATCATTATCCTCCGGTGCATTCATGATCGTGTGTATGCATATACGTCAAAATTTTATTTGCAGTGGCGTGCAAAATAAACGCATCCAAACCGAGAAGCTAACCGTGGATACTATGCTTCTCTGAGGGCCAATTTCACCAACAACAGTCCGTTATTCTCCACCTATAGGGTAACAGCCCGTCAAATACAGCGAATGAGCTTCAAGTTCCAATCAACAAATTTTAGCAACCAATAGCTATGAAATGTTGAAAACAAAATACTGTCAAAGTAGTAGTAATACGACATCATCAGCTTATTGAATATTAATATTAAGAAATTACATATGATTCAGTCAAAATTTAAACAAACTTTTGATTTTTGAATAAAATTCATGATATAATTACTATTGTTGATTTTTTATTCATGATTAATTTATTTTCTTCAATTGATATGCGATTTTACTGATTCAAGATCATGGGTGTTTTTTCGTATAAACCTCTTGCAGATAGCCATTAAGCACCTACTTGATGACTGGCTCTACCAAAAAGTTCATAGATATTGCTCGTTTCCAAACATTCATTCATTTACTTGCCGTTCATCAGAACCATTATGGCACCTTAGATTGATATTCCCACAAAACCATTCTGGTTCTTTTAATATCCATACATCTATAAAGTTGAATATGTTGCGTTGTTCAGGAATTTAACAAACATCCACACTATATTCACAGCGATTAAGAAATACCCAAATATATGTCGTAGAGCTACCAGCAAACCTAAAACCTGCAGAAAAACTAGAAATTTGCAATATTTTTCTTTTTTCACCGAGTACATATTCTGGGTTATATTTATATTAGACGTTATTTTAATCACAAAACATATACACTGATTTGAATAACAGCTGATTATCTCCTGATATTTTAAAACTAACCATATCGACAAGTAACACATAATTCTGTGGGATCCTTCAACACTTCGTCCCAGTGGAACAAACTCTGCCAACTGTCGAAATAAACTTTATTAATTCCAAGTCTTATTTTTGTTTTACTGTGCCTGCTTAGATATTCAAATACGGCCAGGAGTTATTAGCGCCTGGCTATTTTAGGCCTTCAATAACTCCTTGTTTTAGATCTCTCCTAATTTTGTTTTTTCCACGCATTCATGGTAGAAAGAAAAATATTTTATCGAATATCGATACCGTATACCGTGCAGCAGGCACGCCCACCACTACTTTGAAAGATTGCAGAATGCTATCAAGATGACAATCGTTTTGTGGCAGTTGTTTTTGTCTGAAATAGGTAAGTAGGCTTTGTGTATTCTTTTTTATTTATATAGCGTTTCCAGAATTTCATATTTCGAAACGATGTCAAGGGCCGGCAGGGGAAAATCTTTCTCTGAGAACTGAAAATCATTAAACGCGCTGTTTTCAGTCTATTTTATTCTATCTCTTGGGGAAGTACAGAATGAAGAAAAGACTACAGTGCTCAGTGGCCACTCAGTGGCTCAGTGCTCGTCTGTAATGATAATATTCAATACTACTAAACACCTAAATAGCTTTATGGCCTTTCAATTTCGAAGCTACCACTCCTCGCTTAGAGATGGTAGCACATTTAAGGATAGACTCGAGGTATACGGTTACGGATGTTTATGATTCCTCTCGATATCGATATATAGTCATGAAACCATCGATGTGTAAAGATGGATGTTCTACGTCCCATGTATCGATATTTTCGATACATCAATGTATCGTCTATCGTCGCCATCCCTATATTGTATCCCCACCAGTCACCAGTCAAAAACCTTAACCACCAATATTTTATCACTATTTATAATTCTTTTTAGCTCTTATTTTTCAGTAATTACTAACAATTTTAGGTCTATGTCTACAGTAATTGCCTTATGCACCTAGGAGATGTAGGGATTAACATGTTTTACACATATCGGTGTTTTAGGATGGGGACGACCATACTGTTTTGATTGCTTTGAAGAAGTTCATTAACACATGAATTTATAACAAATTACTATTATGAGGTAAAGAGAGATGAGGAATTGGTTGGAATACATTTTATATTCTATTTTCTTGAAAATCCGCACAATTCAACAGGTATGTGTAGCTATAATGATCACATATACACACAGTATATTGAACTTAACAAATTTCGAGATTGCCATGAATTAACAAACGACCAAACCTGCTGCCAAATTTAACAGCTAGAAAATCGACCTATTATTTCTCCCATTCCCATTCGCTGAGGGGATAACGGATGGTCAAATGTACACCTATAACATAAATCAAAATACATGAAAGTTGTCCTGTTTTCTCTGTACAAAAGCATCATGCTGGAATCAAAAAGTGGTCTTGTTTATAATACAGTCGGATTTTTACGATTTTATTAAAGATTTTAATAGAAATCACTGATATTCTCAGACCGTTGACAGCTTCCGTCAAATTGCATTTCGATAAGGTATTTTCCTATTGGTCCATAATATTAATGTTGGTCAAATCGGCCTCAAAACTTCTGAAATCCTCCTTCAAGGTAGGAAATTTCTGTTCAAAGTTAATACTATTACCTTGGAGCTGGTGCCCCTCAGGGTTCGGTTCTCGCACCAATCCTGAAGTCACTTTTGACGTTCGTTGCCCTAGCAACTGTGAAGTCTATCTATATGCTGATGACACTGCACTGGTGGCTCAGTCGCGTTTCGGGAATATGGTTCACGACAGGTTGCAAAGCACGGTAGATTCTATTTTTTGTTCTTGAATTATACTAAGTGACATATAAATCCGAACACCCAGTTTAAATGGTTTTATTTTAATAAAAGTTGGTGAATGTATTTATCTTACTGTAAATAACAAGTGAAAAAATGTTCAGCCTTATCAGTTGAACATTCCGGTTTTTGTACTACTTTTTTTTAATTCACTAACGCTCTAAAAATGAATATTTCAGCCGCAGTAAAGGTTCAACGTTGGCGGATTTTGGTTCTTGACATCCTTTACGATCGGTTACGATGCCTAGAGTACGGAGACCTGTACGATTTCGTCAACTTAGTGAGTTTGATAGGGGCCGTATAGTGGGACTTCGGGAAGCTGGACTTTCTTTTCGGGCAATTGCAGTTAGAGTGCAAAGAAGTGTAGACACTGTGGTTAGGTGCTGTCAGGCATGGCTTCGAGAAGGCCTTACGCAAAGAGCAAGGGGCACTGGACGCCGCCGTAGAACAACAGACCGTGAAGATCGCCGCCTAAGATTATTGGACTTAAGGGACCGTTTCTCCACTACCAGGTCCATTGCAAATGAATGGTTTGCAGAACACGGAAGACCTATTGGCATGCGAATGAGAAGTTTTGGCTTGTTTTCATACCGGCCACACTGGGTCCTCCCTTTAACTCGAGAACACCGACGTAATCGCCCTGAGTGGTGCAGACAATGGTCACTCTGGGATCAGGAATGGAACAGTTGTATTTAGTGACGAGTATCGATTTTTTTTAGGCATGCACGATGGTCGTGCCAGGGCTAGAAGGGGACGTGGTGAAAGGAGGAATCCACAGTTTTTTGTTGAAAGACATGTTCATCACACTGTTGGAGTTATGGTTTGGGGTGCTACAGCTTATGGTTCCAGGTCACCTTTAATCTTCATCAGAGGTAACATGAACGCGCAGCGTTATATCCACGAAGTTCTAGAACCCCATCTTTTACCCTATCTTGACACCCTGGCAGATCCAACTTTCCAACAAGATAATGCCCGACCACATGTTGCAAGAGTCACAATAGACTTCTTTCAACATAACGATGTCACATTGTTACATTGGCCACCAAGATCTCCCGACTTATTCCCAATTGAGCACGTGTGGGATATGATGGGTAGGAGATTGCTCGATTTGCAACGTCCTCCTCAGACTCTAGAAGCACTTCGAGAGGAGTTGGTGGTTGTCTGGAATGAGATACCACAGGAGGACATGACCACCTGATCAGAAGCATGCCTAGGCGCGTTGGAGAATGCGTAGCACATCAGGGTGCATCCACACATTATTAAAGGTCAAAGGGCTTTAAAGCAGTGCAATCATTTTGAAATTTTTATCATTTACTTATTATGCTTCATTAAGTACTTAAACAAAATATTATTAAAATAAAACCATTTAAGCTGGGTGTTCCGATTTATATGTTACTTAGTATATAATTAACATACGTAGTTGTTTACTCTTTCTTGTTCCTCAGTATAGTAAAAGGAACTTCTCCTAATTATTTAAATACCCCAATGCGGAGAAATAATGAAATTCATACATGCTACACCAGAACCAACTGCAATTTTCATTTAATTCAAACCAATGAAGTGTGCACAATGAAAACGAGCATGGACAAAGGTCTGACGAAATTTTGTATTTATTCCCAACAGGTAACACCGAATTACAGGAAAAATACAAGAAAAAGTTACATAATTAGCAACAGCTGTAGCGCCAAAGACAAAAAAAACTTGAAAAAATAAAAAACAAACTCTCACTGACAAAGGTACCAGTCTCTGTAGCACTTCGTAACAAAGTTCTCACTATCAAAAAATAAGTCACGGGAACTACAAACAGAATTGATACATGTACAAATCGTATTCACCGGAGATCTAGACATTATATTAGTATTACCAATAACCGGATAGAAAGTGATTTGAACACGATTCCCCAACCTAGGCACACAAAAATTAAGCTTACTTAATATGAATGAACAATCAACTTGATTGTGTATGATTTTGTACGAAAGATGTAGCGTCTAAGATGCAATGAGTTTATATCAAAAATGTTTAATATAATAGAATGGTCGAAATCTCTTTCATAACATTTGTAATACAAATACTTTAAAGCCGTACTCTGCACATATTCAATACTAACCCTTGAGTCGTTGTAGATTGGAGAATAAATTAATAAAGCGTATTCCAGCTTACTTCTAATAAATGTAAAATATAAAATCTGTACAGTTGATATTTTTGAAAATCCTGACCAATTCCGTACAAAAAAGCCTAGCGTCTTAAACGCCATTTGAGTGATGTGAGCCTTGAATGTCATCTTGGCATCGAATACCACACCCAAAGCTTTGAACGTTTCTGTTCGTTCGAGTAAGTGATCATCGATACTATAATCATAATGTAATACATTTTGCTTCCTATTAAAAGACAGAACTTTACACTGTGATACATTAATCGTGAGAAAGTTTCTGGAACACCAAGAATGCACCAAGTTCAAGCTGTTTTGGAGAGAGATACAGTCGTGATAGCTCTGAATAGCAGTATTAATTTTTAAGTCATCAGCATAAAGTAAATTCATACCAGGAATTCCAGCGACAGGTGATTGATAAACAACACAAAAAACAAAGGACCGAAATTGGATCCTTGGGGCACTCCAGATGTTGCTGTATAAGAATTATATTTAAAACCAACAAACTCAACGTACAGACTTCTATCAAATAAATAAGATCTGATAAGCTTCAATAAAGACTTAGACCAATCATTTCAAGCTTAGCAAGAAGCAAGTAATTATCTATCTGATCAAAGGCATTTTGAATGTCGGTATAAATGACACCCAACTGGCCCTGGTTATCTAATACCTCAGAGATAGTTTGAGTCAGGTAGGTCAGATTTGTGACTGTTGATCTGCCAGCAACAAAACCATGCTAGGTTAGGAGAAACAGTACATTTGACAAAGTTGAGAATGGTATTATAAATAATAACCTCACAAATCTACACAAAGTATCGCAATCTGCCGATAGTTACAAACATTACGTCTATCGCCACTTTTAAAGACAGGATACCTTGGTCATTTTTCAGATATGACGGTAAGAGCATGTTAACAATATCATATTGTATAATCCTTTATTGAAAAACCAGGCACACCATCATAGCCTGAAGTCATTTTATTCTTTAACTTTCTAGAAGCATGAATTATATCCGCTTCACTTACAGTGTTCAGAGATATATTCATACTAGTTAAATTTGAAGGCATGAACTCAATATTAGAAGAATCAGAATTTAAAAACACAGTTGAAATTTTTTTTGCAAAAGCATCGATTATGTCCTGTGGCGAGGTGAAAGCACTTTTCATGCAGACAATGTCTAAATTTAATATGATTAGGTCGAGTTGAATTTGTTTCTCTTTTATCGCTTGCTGTTTGGGACTTTCTAAAATAAATGTTGTTACTTACTGTTAATTTCATCGTTGTTGGTACACTGTCATTTGAAGTCTTTTATTGATTCGTTCTTGTTTATGTAGGGCTACGTAACGCCAATGCCCCAAATACATTTCATCGGAGCACTTCTCTACCGTCTGCATGGTTTTGCTATCCACAGGTCCGATAATTGGTAAAGAGAGGGGGTAATTTGATCTGTTTGCGATACATGCCGGTTATTTTTTCACTCGACCAGTTCAAAATTTTATCACCGATGCTATTAGCAAAGCGTACATCAATGAAACCCTCGCACACGGTCATAGGGGAAATTGTTTTTGATTCATTGCATTAGTGATGATGCATACTGGAAATTATTTATTAAAAAGCAATTAATTATAACACATAAAAAACGGTTAATAGTTGAAAAATTAATATTGTAATTACCGGTTTTATTTTAATGGTATATTAGAAATATTTATGCAGTTATGGTAGAGGAAGGCCATATCCTGAAGATTTATTGCTATAACGTAGAAATGCATTTTGCTTCTCAGGACTCAAGTTGTGAAATTAAATAAAATGTGGACTGTACGCTTTGCATAAAGCTCTTGGATTAATTGGGGCTAAATACAGACATTATTAGGTTGGATTCCCATTTACTTCTCTATAACCCCGACCAACCACAGCGCTGTTTCATGTTCATTAGCAACTTATCAATGCGGTACAGGTCTTAGTCTTGGAGGCACATGAACAGAAAGCAGAAAAGTGTGTACGGTGGTTTGAAAAACTCAAAATACTGTGCGCAGGTAAGCGAAAAATCTGATGAAGTCCAATTGTCAATCGTTTGCCAGGTTGACAATGGAGATCAATGTTGCTTGTACCTCATACCGAAGCGCCGCTAGAGTCTGTGGAGGATGGAGATAACGGAGTAATATTCTTTCCATGATACTCCAGACGTGTTCAATGGGTGAAAGATCGGGAGATCTAGTATATTGTGACTCTATTTGATGCTTTGCATCCCGGGGCTTAGCACTATTTCCCGAAACATTCAGTTTTTATTGGAAATGTCAAAAGAAAAGTGTACAGATTTTCGAATTCACTTTTTCCTTGTAAGCACCTAAGTAGTTGCCTCTCCTCAATTAGCATTTTTTTAAGTTACTCTATTCCAATATTGTATGTGTCTGGAACCCGGCGCTCAAAGTTGTACGTCACAATACATGAGGTGTTTTCCCTCATCTAAATGATCTGAATTTGACTGAACCGCGGTGCCATGGTATTTAGAAATCTTTCTAAGCGTATACAAAAATCTGAGAGTGAATAGTGAGCATTGTTTGTGGCATGCTATTGAATAACAATAAAAATGAAATTTGAGAAACGAATCCATGGTTAAAGGCGATATAGTCACAGTCACAGTGCTTCCTATCTCACTTGACCCATTTTTTCCGTACCTTTGCATTGTGAAAGGATAATATGACTTCTATTTGGTGCTTTTTACCCCAGAGCATAGTAACATTTTCCCACTATTTATTGAAGAACCCAAAAGAAAAACTGAAGATTTTTTAATTCACCTATCGCTTAGCATTTTACTAGTTAACTAACCGCAGTGCTATTTAGGATTCTGCCTACGCGTATAAAAAAATCTGAAAGTAAATAGTGAGCTCTGTTTGTGGCATGCTTTTATTATCACCCGATTTCCCTAGTGAGCATAATTTCCGAAATACTAGAGGGGAGACATCGCATAATAGAATATCTTAATTATTAGAGACTAATAACGTTTTAACAAGTTGTCAGCATGTATTTGGGCCGGGATTTTCAACCGAAACGGGGACAAAAGTAAATTTGTAACCGAAATGTTTTTTGACTGTAGAGGTACTACGACCGATTGGACCTACTCATTTGTAAATCAGCGTCAGTTCATTTTCAGGGTAAACCAGACTCGACCAGATACATTTGATTTGGACCTTGGTACACCACAAAGGAGCGTTCTTGCCCCCCTTGTCTTTCTACTAGATGTAAATGATTCACCAAAGCATATAAGTAATGCAACAATTGTTTTATACGCAGATGTTATAACAGCTCTCGTGATTCAGAGGATAAAGCTAAGTTCAAGACAAAACTTATAAAACAAATTTATGGAAAACTATAATTTCAAGAGTGTTAACAACATAATAATTCGGGAAGAATGTGTGCCGTTTATCCAGAAACTATCTTACATGGGATCAAGAAATTGAGGCTACCGCTAAAAAATGAAATAAAGCTTTCGTGTATTGGATACATTAAAAACAACATCGACTGCAAGTGACTAGAGACGATGTACTTTGCCTTATGTATTCTTCTATAGCATATGACACTGTGGTGGTAGTATTAATATATATCAAAAAAAATACTGCTGCTCATATTCAATCTTAACTAAACTGACTCCTGTTGAGATATGTTAAACAACAATATCATGTTCATTGTAACAGCAATATACATTAAAAAAATATTATCCCATATACATCACAATAGAGAAAAATACCTCATCATTGACTTTACCCATGCTTATGAAACGAAAAATAGAAATGAAATATGCTTAGAGCAGTTAAATCACACCCATTTTAGTCGCCTCATAATGCTGGATGTCACCTCTTCAGCCATCTGCCAGTATATATTCGCCACAAAAAAAACTACAGAACGTAATTTAACTCACTTGTTTGTTAATATATATATATATATATATATATATAACAAAAAGTAGGAAAATAATGGGCAAAATCCGCAAAAAGGATGAAAGTGGATTTGTGCAGAAACTAGGATAGGTAACCCGAGCGATACGTATTTCTGCTGGTTGGCTTCATCAGGCCAGAAATGAATGTATATATGCAACTACAAAAGTAGATACACATGTCCACACATCCGGATACGGATGTAATCTGAGGAAACGAAGATGCTGAGGGAAAAAATTCACAACAAGAGCCAATCTACACATTGTAGTATAAAATGGCGAGAAGACCTCGAATTTTCAAGGAGACATCGAACCACAATCACGCGGCCGGTTATAGCCACTTGCTTCACTCACTTCAAGCCCAAAGGATCTACAAAGAGAAAATAATCATGCGGAGAGACGTATATAACAAAGAGTGTGTGTCGATTTTTTCCCTCTCCATCTTCGTTTCCTCAGGTTACACGCATATCCGGATGAACGGGCCTGATGAAGCCAACCAGCAGATATACGTATCGCTCGGGTTGCGTATCCTATTTTCTGCTCGAATCCACTTTCATCCTTTTTGCGGACTTTGCCCATTATTTTCCTACTTTCTCCCCATGATTATTTTCTCTCTATATATACAGGGTGACTTCGAAGTTAACAGTTAACAGTGAGTAGATCTGATCAAAAGAAATGTTTTTTTCCTTTACCATTTTTCTGGTAAAATTAAAGTAACAAAGTTATAGCCCTTTGGAAGTTTGAGTACCGCCCTGTCTCAATAATAATATTATGTGCTCGTGTTTGGCGACAACGGATATAATTCGCCTTATCGGTTCAGCGCATCGGAAACAAAAAAACGAAAGAATTTGGAACGATGTTTTTACAATTATTTCATTCAGTTGTATACAGTCAGTGTCAGTCGGTAGTGGATAGTGGTGTCTGTTGCGTGGCTCAAACGAAATAAAAAATGGCACATGTTTATGCGGATTGGTTTCCCAATCGAGTGCAACCAACCCCTCGTGCCTTTGTTAATGTAGTACAACGGGTTCGTGAATCATTTGACTTAAGACCTCACATATGGACGGCATGCCGTGCTCCAAGACCTCACGATCAAATACAGGTCCGCACTGAAATACTTGTCGGGAGGATACTTTATAAAACAAGGTAAATTTTTTTTTTTTAATTTTTTTTTTATTTTTACACAGATATTTTGGTTTATCTTCCTTCTACAATCATTATCTGAAAATTAATTACTCAACTTCAAAGTCACCCTGTATATATTTAACTTCTATGGACCTGACATGACCTATCTGTTGTCTACAGACTACAGGTTAAATAAAAACCTCTAATGTCTATTGAATAGCAATAACACTGAAGCAATCACAATTTCTCTCTAGTGTTACAAGTTCCCAAGCGCAAAGACTTAAAATACGAGGCTACCCTGCTCGAGAAAAAAAAAACAAGTAGATGACACTAAAAACTACTCGTAACGACATAGTTGAATTAGCATAACCGCCTTTCTGGCTGTCGATATGAACTTGCTCCAAATTAAATTAGAGTGAGCAGGAGTAAAACACCCCCCTTAATTTCCAACTCCCCACTAAAATGGCAGGGAGTTTATGGTGAAACTTCCGAAAAAAGGGGGACCGGAAGGAAACTTTTCGCAACAGCCGCATCGTCTGCATAATGTTACTGTACTGCAGGGAGTTTTTGCCTGTACTTTCTACGTCCTCGATCACTTCGAACGCCGGGGAGCTCAGAACGAGTTCGTATACCTCAGGTGATGGGATCAGTATAGCTTTAATACTTATTTACGATCTCCGTCCTCATGAGCCCGGTACAGAAGAGCTAATAAGAAATGAGACTGCAAATCAGTCTATCGCCATGTCCTTAGACAGTGAGGTAGACATAAAGGAATTAGGTTCATCGCAAACATCGTCCAAACTAGCAGGTAGGTATCAGGACATGAACGGTACATCAGAAATGAAAAGCCGGATGAGCCAGCTGGAGATAGTGCAGCCAATCTCCTTATACAGGGTGTTTCAGTTTATTGTTGCATAACTTTAAGATTCGATAGAACTTTTAAAATTAATGCATAAAGTCTATATAAACATGGGTCAAAAGATGCGTGGCTTCCGAAATATAGGGTGTTTAAATTGACTTTCTAAAATAGTTTTTTTTAAATATTCGATGCATTTTTAATTATTTATGGGAAAATAATATTTTTTTTACATTTTCGATTTGGGCATTACAAGTAATTAAGATGATCGTTTCGATTGTGTTTTTAAACACATCAATAATCCCTAACTCCAAATAAACACAAAAAAACA